TTAGCTCTCTCTCTCGCTTTGCCTATCTCGCCGCTCTCTCTGAACCGTCCTGTACACTGACTCGTACATAAACTTTATATATTCGTATACTATTAAAACTGCATGGTTTTTCTTTCGTAATATCTTTCCTTCCTATCGCTTCCCTCAACATTCGCGAATTAAGGTACATGACCCACGATGCTCTCCGCTGGCCAGTTGGCGATCTGACCTACCGGGTCGGTCTTGCGTAGCAGAACGCAGTACCGCGAAGAGCTGTATTTGTTCCAGCCACTACTCAATCTCGATTTAATTAATATACTGTAGCGCTCTAAATCTCCGTCACAAAGTTTATCAATAATTATGAAATTATTATTATTTCTTTTTGAGGTGACGGCGTACTAACATCGAAATTTGCTTAACTTAATTTATTCGTGATTTGGGTAAGTTTAATTTTGACACTAGGAACTGTGATATGTGTGTAGATAGAGCTGTTTAGATCAACAACTTGTTGTTTGTCTTTTGATATTTTCTGCACTTCACAGAATAAGCTATTTTGACCATAGGTGTTTTCATAAAATTGAATGAAGTCTTTAAAGCTACAAGGTATAATTTGAGTGCCAGAAAATACAATTTTAGATGGTTGCAGTGCGTCATCATTTTTTGCCATGTCGTCGATGATATCTAATTTCTTTATATTCCTACTTTGTTTCACTGAAACAATGATTTTTTTACTGTGTACTTTTGACGCTGATGAGTACTAGTACTAACAGAGGTAGATGAGTTGGAAGAGGAAAACGGTCTTTTAAATACAGTCGTTTGTGTATTTCTAATAGCAAGTGACGTATTTTGTTTATTAACAACAGACGGATATTGATCATTAATCACCTGCTTGTATACTGTGCTTGCCAAGTCATGCTTCAGGACCGTACAATCCAGAGCCTTATTGCATATATTTTTGCACCTATAACATTTCATTACTTCAGGACCGACGAAAATAAAATAGTCAGTTTCGTCATGTGTAAACTGTAGCTTAAATAGGATTTTATCGTCGTTGTCAGCTTTGACATATACCTGCCATATGTGACTTTCTACGTGCTCATACTCGGGTTTACTAATACTGACGTTCATGCGTGTAACTTCTGAACTTTTGTTTACTTTAAGCGTATCGAGAATTTTCATCAGGTAGCGGTTAGAGATTGTAGGCGACATGTTGGAGAAAATGATTCTTGTATTTGTTAAAAGTATCGGTCTAATAAAAACTTTATTTCGTTTTATTTCAACAAATTATGTTCACAAGTAAAGCTTTCAACAAGTTCTTTACTAGAGAGGTGAATGCACACGCGATTTTTGGACACTTTAGAGGAACAAAGCACATTTTCGGATTTAACAATTTTCCGATTGCAACTGTATAATCAACTAGCAGATCATTAACGTACGTTAGGATAATGGCTTGATCACACGTGTAACACTTTTCATTTTGAGCTTTTTATGCGAAACTATCTTTTTTAAATGTTTGGAATTAAACTTGGGAATAACTTCAGGTATCTGGAAGCTTCTAAGAGGCATATCGGTAACATAAATACCTTCTGAAAACTCAGAGGACATCTCCTCTGATGTTTGAGTAACCATATCAAATGACTGCGTTTAGTACTCGATAGCACTGGATATAGGGTCGAAATCTATGCACAGTGCACGGTGATTTACGAGATATACATACGCATCGGAAAAAGAGTTGCGGAGTAAAAGTAAACACGTCTGTTCTTTTCAAGAATTCAAATAGGTACAATAATTGAATGCTTACGATCCTGATAGGCACCTAGAGTTTTCTGAATTGATAACGAACCGAATGGATGCTGATATGAATTTTGTGTATCATATCGCATTTTTGGATGAAGCTACATTCTGTCTAAATGTTCGCGTTAATAGGTATAACATGTCTTATTGGAACGATAAGAATGATAAATAGCCGAAGTACTCAATATTCCCAAAAGTTTAAAGATTGGGCAGGTATTATCAACAATGTAATTATTGGACCTGTTTTCACTGAGAAAAACCTTGACGGTTCATAATATGAGGAAATGTTAAGGAACCAGATTATTCCTGCTATTTATGCTGTAGAAGTTGAATTCGAATAGACTTAGTTTCAGCAAGACGGAGTGGCAGCTGATAATGCGTTACGTGTTCGCAATTACTTAAATGGAATATTCAATGAGTGGTGGATAGGCAGACGTGGAGCTATTGTATTACCAGCGAGATCATTTGATTACACTCCACTCAACTTCATATTATAGGGGTATCTAAAAGATCGAGCATATAAGACAAAGCCATTGAAAATTTATGTTCTTAAACAACGAATACAGAATGAAATTGCTGCTACTGAACCGGACATGATATAAAGAAGTGTATCAAGCTTTTATGATCACATGGCATATTGACAAGAAGCTAGTTGAAATCATTTTGAACACATACTATAAAGTGATGGTCTCAACCTTGCCTTACTTGACTAGGTAAATGTTTTATAACCTTGCCTTAACTGGCTGGGTAGTCCCCGCACCTCAACTACACTTGCTGCATAGAAGTTTAACCTTGCCTTATTGAGTGCCCCAGCTTGAAGTTCATGATCAAGGCCATATCTGAACCTAAAATTTAAAAAACAATCCTTGATATAAAATTTTATGCTCTTTTAATTCGATGGATACAAAGTATTGGATTATATTTAAAAAAATTATCTTGACCTCTAAATGACCTTGCAGGTCATGGTCAAGGTTACCATTAAATTGCTAAGGAAAAATCTTATAACTTTTGTCCGAAACATTTTTCGCTAAATACAGTCTGCCGCGTTATACCACCGTTCCGAGACTTGGATCACCCTGTATTCCAGAGTATACAGGGTGTCCTATTTAAAAGGAATCACCCCGAAATTTTCGACGGTTGGCATTGTTCCAAAAAATTGTTCAGACAACAGTTGTTTGGGACAATGGGGGCAATCCTTCTGTGAAATCCGATTTGACCTTGAGGTTCATTTTCAAGATCATTTGAAGGTCAAAGTCATTTTTTGAATAGGAACCCATATTTTTGATCCTGGATTCGGAAAGAGCGGAAAAATCTACGTTTAGATAACGTATTATGTGTGGGGTGCGGTTAACCCCCCCCCCCCCTCACCTAAGGTCATGTAGGGGTCAAATTTATGATTTTCTTCATATATGCACAGGGAAGAGTAAGGTTAATTGTAATAACCCAATAACTCGATAACCCAAATAACCCAATAACACGATAACCCCAATATCCCAAAAAAATTGTACGGTCAAACAACAGTGACCTTGAGCTTAAACTTCAGGTTGATTTTCAAAGTCGACTTCATGTATTCAAGGCCTTCATGAGAAGTGTCATTTTCCATTTTGTGGGATAACATGTTATTTCCATTCTTTTTTCTGGTGTGATTGCGGACAAGCCTACAAAGTTTTAACTAAATTGTTTAATAACACTTTTTTAGTATTGTTTATGACAATAGTGATTCGCGAACAGTCCTTCTCAGGATAGTTCAAGTGTAATTTTCTTAGTCGACTTAAAAGGAGGCAATATGCCGGATTATTCGAGAAACGAAATTGTTGATATTCTGTTGTCTCTCGGGGCATGTCAAGGCCGATATCGTGCTGCGGCAAGGTATTACAGGCAGTACCCGGCTAGGTAATCAATACCTTGCCTTCATTGGCTGGGTAATCGATACCTCACCTTCATTGGCTGGGTAATCAATACCTTTCCTTGTTAACCTCACCCTTGCCCCGGTGGGATGGGGGGGGGGGTGAACCGCTCCCCCAACATAATACTTTATTTAAACGTAGAATTTCCCGCTCTTTTCGAATCCGGGATAAAAAATGGCGGTCCTTATTCAAAATATCTCTTGGTTATTGGGTTATTGGAGTTATCGATTTATTGGGTATTGGAGTTATTGGGTTATTACAATTAATCTTACCCTCGCCCGAACATCCCTGTAAGTAGATGAAGAAAATCATAAATTTGACCCCTACATGACCTTAGGCGTGAGGGGGGGGTTTAACCGCACCCCACACATAATACGTTATTTAAACGTAGAATTTTCCGCTCTTTCCGAATCCGGGATCAAAAATATGGGTTCCTATTCAAAAAATGTCTTTGACCTTCAAATGACCTTGAAAATGAATCTCAAGGTCAAATCGGATTTCGCAGAAAGGTTGCCCCCATTGTCCCAAATAACTGTTGTCTGAACAATTTTTTTGTACAATGCCAACCGTCGAAAATTTCGGGGTGGGTCCTTTAAAATGGGACACCCTGTATAAAGGGTTGAAAACTCACATTTAGTGGATACCTACAATGTTAATATATATTATATATTATATACACATAGTGCTAGTTGTAGGTTTTAGTTGTACATTAATTGTAGATATAAGTTGTACAGCATGATTACGTAAAGATAGATTACGTAAAGAGTTATAACTATAATATTACTTTTTATTATTTTTTCTTTTGCTCTATATAATTTATTTTTAAACTTTTGAGAAGCATAGCACTATCTTATTTCAAAATAGTCATTAATTTGTTTCTTCGGTATAGTCTAGACTTAAATCTCTCCATAGATTACTAAAAGTCCCAGTCCCCTGCATCCACTCGGATCTCAGTTACTGAATCTTTTAATGTTTTAATCTTTTTTTTTTTGGGTTCCATAAGAGTGTCGTAGTTTCATTTTGGTACATATATTTTTTATTAAAAAAGAGCCGTTGGTACATTTTCGGAATTAAAACCAGGTATTTCCCATGGGAATCGTGCATTCTATCCACTAACCGATTGCGGTTCTTTTATGTATTTATATAAATATACATATAAATATACATATAAATATAAATATACAAATATATTTATAAACATATATAAGTATAGATATTTATAATCGTTTCAACAAGTAGTATATTATTCTATATATGTATAAATACGCATACATTTACTTATATATATATATATGTGTGTGTATAAATTTATTATTACAGAACTGCGTAAAGGCCAAAGCATTAACATCTATACTTGCTGTAAAAGAAATTTCAGAAAATCAAGCGCTAGCGGCTATTGACGAAGTATTTCCAAAGTGTTATGCCGACTTAGAACCCATTGGTAGACGGTGTCGTAGAAATTCTAATAATATGGAAATGGCATTGTTAGAAGCACCCTTGTATGGATACGATTATTATATATAGATATAAATTTTTGTAGTTAATTACCTTACAATTTGAAAATTTAATGAAAATCTATGATGAATACAACGTTCATGTATATTGAGTTTTTTTATATAAGATCTTTTATTACTTGCAAGTACAAGAATTTAAAATTAACAAAACTATATTGTAATAACTATACATATAATGTTATTTTTTTTCATAGTGGATTTTTCTGATGTTTCGAGGTATGACTTATTGAATTATTGAATATTTGTATAAATATAAGTAATAAAATAATTTTAATATTAATAAGTTCTAATCATATAGAGTTTATTGGATAATGGTTCATGCATATAGTCTATAAAGATGAAAAAGCATCAAATAATAAAATATTCCTTTTTTTTAAAATAAAATACAAACTACTCGATTTTATTCTTTCACCAATGACACAAAAAAAAATGGTGTAACGTAGAAGGTAAATTTATAAAGTCCTCATGCTCATCACTTTGTATGCTGGAATAATTACCCAGTATAGGGAAGCTAATGTTCGTTTATCTTCGGTAACTCCTTTTCCCTCTCCCACTTCTCTTTATCTATAAGGTACCTCATACCGTCCATAATACGTGAATGTAAAGAATATCGTGAATATGTGTAATTACAACATGTATATTTATTGTAACGGTCCAGTCTGATTTGTCCTTTTTTTCCCTCTGCAAAATAGCAACCCGTCGTGCACGTGACAATCAAAGAAAAGCGGTAATTGAGCGAAGCCGCTTTTCTCACACATATGCAAATGTGTTAGGGCAACTCTGCGACAACATTACCTTATAAGAAGCGTGACATCACGACCGTGGGAAATATATTGTTTACAATGCAAAATCCACAATTATAAAGTTTTTCGAATGAACAAAAGCACTTTTTTAGTCAATTTTGATGCGTTGATCCTGAATTTCATGTCGTTATAATTCTCAAGTCGGTATTTATTAGTTTAATTTAATTTACAAGTTAATATTGTCAGTTATTTTGCAATAAATAATCATTTTATTAATTCGACTATGCGATTACGTCCGCGACATATTAAGAGAAGCAAGAATTGGACACTTTGCTAACTAATTATTCACTAAGCTATCAATAAATAAAAAATTTATAATTTTTTTAAACAATTAAAATTGCATTGTTAGATAGCGAGTCGATCGTACTTATCTGTAAAATTAATGATTATGAATGTCACTAATTTGTTGATTTTTAAATGGTTAAAAAAGAAATTTGCAAATTCATTTTTGAATTATTATTTAAAATTAGACAGGTATATTAATCGTTTTTTATTTGAATAACGTTCCGCTAATTACAAGCGATTTTTTTAGGTAAAAATTTCCCATAAATTTATTGTAAAACTGGCGTTATTTGATTATTGAATTGTATTACTTATAACTCTAAAAGGCGATTTTTCCTCGAGAAGCGATTTATGTTAAAAAATTCGTTATTTCATATTTAATTTTTTAAATCATAAAATTGCAATTTCGATCGAACCATTTTGCAACAAAATATATGCAAACTTTGTATCAATTTCAAAAATAGCGTTGTAGGGGCTACCAAGCGTAGAAAGGAGCCCATTTCACAAGTATAAATTCGCTCGTCGCTACGGCAAGAGGATTTGCTATCCTACCTTGCTTAGTAGCGCAAGCACTGTTTTAGAAATAAAGCCTCAGCAATTTCCTCAGATAAATTTCTTTATTTAGTGGTCAGCCTGCTCATTCCTCTCCTTTCGATATCTAAATGCTCAACTCATAAGACTATCTCTCTTATGAGAAAAAAGTAGCCTTAGATATCTCCCTACCTCAAATATAATAATTGTTGAGAAATTAAATTGAGTATTGATTGCGGCGCTGTTGGGCCTCTCCCCGATAGATGCAATCACGCTCAATTGCATTTCAAGACGATTCATCGAGTTAGAAAACTTTGGGTTTACTACTCGAAAAATTTTCATATTTCATTTAGAAGATACACGTGTCAACTTCTTGCTACTCTCGGAAACGCGATTACGAATACAACAGAAAGAGTCCGAACTATCGTTTTGATAACGTGGGAAAGATTCAAACGTTAGATTATATACACATTGTAACGATGTAATACGACCGTTTTCACTAGGGTTAGTTCGCGGTCGTCCGCACAAATTATTTTTGAGAGGGATTCAGAACGCGCAAATGCTTCTATGACTAATGATGCGTCGAGCTATAACGCGTCAATCGCATGGACTGGATTCAGGATGAGGACTATTATTTAGGTACATGAACGTAATAGTGATTTAACATTAAGGCCTTTGTTTACAACAACAAGAAACAATAAAACAAATTAATAACACAACTCAAAATGGCGATTTCAACGCTCGCTCCCCTATCCGCACGACAGACTACGAGCTCGCGAAGATGAAACGATGGCAGGACGGCCACCGATTCATCTATCCTATCTTTACTTTTAACGTAAAAACAACAATCTAACACCCGTACAAAAGAATCGGCGTTTGCAGTCAACGGTATAGTTGGCAGATCTGCCACACTACCCGTGATGGACTGACGCTCGAAGCATACGAGGAAAAGAGCGTGAGAGCGAGAGAGAGAGAGAAAGAGAGATAAACGCTGCATCGACCTCGTCCGTTGACTCCTAGCTCCGTCGTTGTCGTTGATGTCGTCAATGATACAGTAACTGTCGTCGTTGATGTCGCTGTTGCTGTTCCTGATATTGTCGTTGTTGTTATTCCCATTGCTGTCATTGGTGTTGTTGCTCATGTTGCTGTCGCTTTTATTGTTGCTGTTGGTCGCTGTATACCTTCTCGCTACTTGTTGCTACTAGCTCGCTTTTTTTGTTAACGACAAAGGCCGTCCACGCGCGTACCCGTGTCATTTTACTGATATCACTCACAAGTGCTCCAATGCCAGGTAACAATTTAATGCTATAGCTGAGTGCGACCCAGCCAATAATACTAACACTCCGCGCAGCGGGCGCGTCTATAAACGATTCCTCGTCGGCGAAGGTGTGAGGAAAACGCAAAGAAAATTTGATAAGGAAAGCTCGCGTGACGGCCTTCACTACACCTAGCAAATATTGATCATAAAAGTCAACGCGAAGATGCGTAGGTAACTCCCGATCTCTTCCTTTTTCTCTCTCTACTTCCCTGTCTCTATCTTTCTTTCGTCTGCCGTCTGCGCCATCCTTTGCTGCTCATCCTCACGCCACACCTCAGCAAACAAAGACAAGTATGAATGTGTGCTTTACACGCACACACTCGCAGCTTGGTACGGCGCACGGATCTCAGTGATAACCCAACAACAGAACGCCGGCCATACAGCGATTCTTCGTTACAACATTCAAAACCAGAAAAACAATAAAGAGCGACAAATAGTAAAATTAGCTGCAAGAGAAAAATTTCCATTATAAGACATAACAAATGAATGTAACACACGTCTTGTCTCTCTTAACACACACACACACACACACCGTAAGTGTAATCCCTCAGATGCACCATTTTTCACACATTTTTACTCATGCTATGTCTATTTGTACCCATGTCGTTCCCACACATTTACCTATTTTTGCCTATTACTTATATAACACAAGACCACAAAATAAACAAAAAAATTCTTCCCGCCAAAATCATACCTAATAGTTTTTTGGTGCGCTGCTTCAGAATTCGGGATCCTTTTAATTCCAGGACGTCGAAATCAAGGTTATTTGAAGGTCTAAATTGTTGATTGCCATGAAGCCTCAAATCCGACCACGAATTCGAAAAGAGCGGGAAATTTTACGCTCGAGAATGTATTTCTAATTTTTTTCACCTGATTCTTGAGGGTCATCTGGGGGTCAAACATAGGACGGATAGCTCCTAATGGCTTTGGACTCATATAAACGAGAATTTTTTTTTTTTTTTTTTTTTCATTTATTAAACGGGTAAAAACTCAAATTAAAACATAACAAATAATAAGCATACAAAATAAAAAATAAGAAAGAATTAAAAAGATAGACAAAAAAATAAAAATACAGTATAAAAAAAACATACATAATAAATATAAAAAGTAAAGAAAAATAGAAGTAAATAACAAAACAATAATTAAAGTAAAAATTACATAAAATAAAATAACAAAAGAAGGAAAAGGCAGCCAAAATGGAAAAAACAATATAAAAAAAAAAACAGAGAGCACCGAACAAACGAAAAACCAGAAGACGCGTGACAAAAGAAACAAACTAGCGAAACTCCGCTATGTCCTCACGAACAAGCTTTTTAAATGTGCCAATACAAACTGCGTGCACGTCCAATGGAGATGACAAGTTATTGATGAGATGACATGAGCGATCGACAATAGACAAATGATTAAGATTACATTTACGGGGACGAATAAAAAAGGTGTGATGACGGGCCCGGAGAATACGCGGGGGCACTATATAGAGAATGCGATTAGAAAGGGCCATCGAATTGATAAAGTTATGACAAATTTTATAAATAAATAATGCTGATTGATAGTTGATGAATGAAGTGATAGTGCAAATATGAAATGAACGTGCCACTGCAGAGTAGTCATGAGAGAAGGCATCCATACGTGGGCCGAATTTATTAGCTAAAAAACGTAAAAAGCGATGCTGAACAATCTCAAGTGATTTAGATTGATGATAAAAACGCGGCGCCCAGATGACAGACGCATAAGTAAGACGAGAGCGAATATTGGCATTATAGAGTGCAATAAGAGAGCTTGGCCTTTTGAATGCACGACATTGTCTGAACAACAGAAATAATGCCCGAGATGCCAAACGACATGACTGAATGATGTGTGAAGTGAAGGAAAGACTACCATCAAACAACACGCCAAGATCCTTAAACTCAATAACCCTACCAATAACAACATCAAGGAAATAATAGTTATGAATGTATGGCGCTTTACTACGAGAGAACGACAGAGCTGCACATTTATCAATATTCAATAAGAGCCCATTTGAAGAGCACCAATCACAGAATCTCTCCAGATCCAACTGTAATTCGTAAACATCGTTAAAGGAGGAGATAACTTTAAATATTTTGGCATCATCGGCATAGAAGGAGATATAAGAGGACTTAATAACTGAGAAAGCATCATTTACAAAAATAATAAAAAATAGAGGACCAAGGTGCGAGCCCTGTGGCACCCCAGAAGCAGCTAAGTACGAAGAAGAGACAAACTTTTGAAGTTTTACGGAGTATGATCTATGGGA